TAATGTCAGTTAATTCTGACGAAACGTGAAAACATTACCAAGTATATTTCCTTGCTAGCCTAGCTAGCCTAGGCCCTGGCCTATGCTAGCTCTGTCTCTTATACACATCTAAAAAAAGTAAAATATTTAATATATAGGCTATTAATCTACAGTAATGTGTTTTAATAGGTATACCATCAGGCAGAGACGACTCGAACCCTAAAGGTGGCAGTGAAGGTAAAATACTATTCCATAGGAAATTTGGTAAGTTTAACCATACGTTAGTTTTTAACTAGGCCTATTGATGTTCCACGTTTGAAAACTTGTGTCACAGGAACACCAACTTCCTGATAATAACTGCTGTTGGTGTTGAAGTGGTAGTACCGTACTGTACAAATATTATCTGATAATTTATGCATTCAAGCATAAACCGGAAGCTATAGCAATGTCAATTCACCAGGATTGTGCTTTCGATATTATAATTTTGTCTCCAGCATATGAATAGACAAAATGCTTGTCTGGGATATCTGATCAATATTTCCGATAATGTTTTTTTTTTTTGTTTTTGTTTTTGTTTCCAAGGTTTTTTCTTTAAATGTAAATATAGGCCTATTTATTATTATTAATCAAATAAGTTGTTTTTTTCTCTTATAGAACTTAGAAATAATGTACTTGAACCATGGAGGGACTAATTCCTCCAAGCCTGAACATGTGGGTTTATAGGATAACATTCTTGGCCCCGTTGTGATGACTTGTTTTGAATTACAATACACATGCCTAATCAACAGTGTAAGCCTATAATTTTAAAATGTTGAGAAAGGTGGTTACCTGAAACATGAGTATTATGCCCTACTGTTAATACTATTTCCCCCAGTGTTCAGCCAACGGTTCTTTGTGGCGTCCCACAAAACGGTTCTTTGGCACAGAATCAATACCGTGCCGGGAACGCCAAAGAACCGTTCTTCGGTGTCATATCGATATTTCATTGCATCATTGAATATTTTCATTTCTTATTCAGGAAACAGAAACATCGGTATTGTAATGTTGTCAATCATGTCAATGCTAATAATTACAGTTCCATAATGTGTATGGTAAGTGTTGTAATAGCCTATTACAGTACACTTTTTATACGAACACTGAGGCTGAAATTGCTTAAAAATTAAGAACAAAATAAGAACAAATTGAGGCTGAGGTAAAATGTCCAATGAGATTTTTATTTTTAAAAATTAGAAAAACCAAAAGATATATCTATCTACCTTATGTGCAGTAGGTGTGACTATGTAATACCTCTATAATACAGTACAAGACGTATACCTACTTGTCATTTGGGGCCATTTTTACCAGGGCCTTTTTTCTGGGGACGTTTTTTCAGTGGCTTTTTTTTCGGGGCCAGTGTTTCTTGGGTGTTTCAGTACAGTGTAAAGTATACTGGTACAATAATACATTTGTATGTTTGAAAAGTGTGTAACATAAGAACAAAATAAGAACATTTTGAGTTTGAAATTGGCCAAAAAATAAGAACACTGAGCCTGGGCAAAATTTTACTGGTTCTTATAAAAAAAAAAAAGAAGTGTATTTGAATGTAATTCCCTTCAAATTCGTGACCACTTTTTCAAAGAAACAAATAACAATATTCAAGGTCTAGTCTCCACACTGAGCTAACCCTCTCTGTTAAAACTAAACAGAGACCCACCCCAAATTTTCAGGTCCAAAGGTGGTCTCGAATTGGAGGGCGAACTGTATAGTATGAACAATAACTAAGTGTTTCAGAGAAATTATAAACACATATAATGCACCAAATTCAATAAACTTGCAACTTTTGGTAACTAATATATATATATATATATATATATA